AGTACTACCATTGGCCTCTGACACTCCGAACAGTGCAGTCTAGACAGCCTAGTTTCTCTACTAAGAAGACAATTCCACAGCCAATCAGGGTAGAAGAGTCAATTTTGCAGTTCTTTTTTAGTTTTTTCAGCCACCTTTGCTCTGGAAGGGGATGATCATTTTCAATAGCCTCCAGCTGGTCTCCCAGCAGCTACCTTCCCACTTAACCCTCCTCCTTGGAGCAGTGCCCCAGACTGTTTTCCCATGCTCAAGCTCTCCAGTCTGTGGGGTGAAGTCCAAACTCCCAGCCTGATAAATGGGACCTTCCACAACCAGTCTTCCAGCCTTGCCAAGCCCCCCATACCACCCCCCACCCCATGCATCATTCCATTTCCAATCCTCTGGACATTCCACACCCTTCCTACCAAGCTACTGTGTGCCCAGCCAATGCCTGCTCTTCCCTTAAGACCCATTTGAGCACCACCTCCTTTTTGTGTCCCTTCCCTCCAGAAAAGGCAAATCCTTTTTGCCTGTGGGCGCAGTACTGTGTAGACAGCACGGAGCATGGGGGCCGACCTCGCTTCATCTGTGCATCCCCCTGCTTGTCCCCTGCTCTAGGCAAACAGAAGGTGCTTCATGTTTGTGGACTGAGGCTGAATGACCCAGGTCATCTGGGCACTGCCGCCCCACAGGGAGGCCTCTGAAGAGAAAACAAGATGGAGAAATTATGCTATAATTCACTCATTCAAGAACAACTGAGTGAGGAAAGTCCTCACACATTTGGCGTCAGAAGTGTCATGAGTAAAAACAGTACCAAAGGAGTGACTTTAGTGTTTGAGGAACAGTAAGAGTGCCAGACAGGCTGGAGATAGGGAGGGCGAGGGAGTGGTAGAACATGAGGTCAGAGGTCATGGTTGTTTTACAGATGGGGAAACTGGGGCAGAGAGAAGTTAAATAAGCCTACTCAACTTCTGACCCTCTCCCATGCACTGGATTCCCCCATGTGCTGGGTCTCACACCACCCAATGCCCTGGATACCCCATTTGCTAGATCTGAGCCCCCCCATGCACTGGATACCCCGTGTGCACTGGATCTCATGCTCCCTCTTCCCCGTGTGCACTGGCTCTCACGCCTCCCCATGCGCTGGATCTTACACCCCCCCTCCCTCTGTGCAGTGTTGTCACACCCCAACCCATTGCACTGGATCTCATGTTTTGCACCCCCCCTACACTGGTTCTTATACCCCTCCATGCCCTGGATCCCTCCTGTGTGCTGGGCCTGACCCCCCCCCCATGCACTGGATACCCCCTGTGCACTGGATCTCACGCTCCCCCTTCCCCCCGTGCACTGAATTCACTTCTCCCCCTTCCCCCATACATTGGATCTCTCATCCCACCCACCTGTGTGCTGGATCTCATGACCCTCCTCCCATGCACTGGATCTCACATTCCCCCCCAGCCCCATGTGCTGGATCTCACGTTCCCCCTCCTTGTGCACTGGATTCACGCCTCCCCCTCCTCTTATGCACTGGATCTCACCCTACTCCCTGTGTGCTGGATCTCACATCTCCCCTAACCCACATGCACTGTATCTCACCCCTTTTGCCTGTTCAAGAGCTTCCTTGCAGTGCTGTGCCTTGTCTCCTGCACTGATCTCTCTCAGCCTTCTAGATGATTCCAATAGAGGTGAAAACCTGCTTTCAGGGGCTGGCCAGTTAGCTCAGTTGGTTAGAGCACAGCTTTGTAATACCAATGTCAAGGGTCAGTTTCCCGTACCAGTCAGCTGCCAAGAAAACCCACAAAACCTGCAGTGACCTCTCCAGCCTCTAAAGCAACAACCACGTCAACACCCCTTGGCTGGAGCTCTGTCTAGCTAGGACTCCATAACTCCTCACCCTCCTTTCAGCAGGAGTCCTGCAGGAGCTGCCTGCACGCACCCTCTCTCGCTCCCCACCTCTCTTTCTTCAGGCTGCTTCCCCACAACAGCCCGGGGAGGACAGGACAGGTCAGCCCATGAGACGGGAGAGAAGCAATGGCAGAGATGAGGACAACAGCTGACACTGACATGACCGGCAGAGGCCCCTGGTGACCTGACATGCTGGGTGGAAGGGGCTCTGGGAGCCAGGGCTCAGGTGAAGATTGCTGCGTGGGGAGGAGGGTGAGCTGGCTGAGGGATCTGGGTGGAGGTGATTATGGGCAGGTCTACTTGCATGTCAGGTGGTGGGTTTGCAGGTGCTTATTGCATGAGCAAAAATAACAACGACTGCGCTGTATTGCTAGGGCAATCGTCAGAATCCTGCCGATGTAGCCAATTGTATTGCTAGGGCTAAAGCTAGGAGCCACAGACCCTTCAAACCCATTGTACAGGCTGAGTCACAAACCCCTTGTGGGGAACTGTGTGTTCTCATGATGACCCCCTGAGTTGCAGAGCCAAAAGGACAGACTGCCAACTTCCTGATGAGGAAGTGGTGGCGGGCTGAGCACGGAAAAAGCTGAGGCTGCGGCCTAGCAAGTTTGTGAAAACTGCATGCTCTCATTTATGACTGCTGATTAAAATCTAGTTGGCCGACCACAAGAACTAAGCTGCGCTCGGGTGTGATGATTCTGAGAGAGAAGACTTCTGAACAACTTTGTTTTTTTTATTTTTTCTCCCCCTACTTCCCCTTTTTTACACTTCTATATAAGAAGCTTGTGTGAGACAATAAAACAAGGCTTGATCAGATCCTTGTCTTGCCTCCCTCCTTTGCGTCTCTTGTCCCACCCACTCCCCCTTCCAGGTTCCACTGACCGACTCCCAATTCCCGAGGGAAGGGACAACCCCTCACATGTCAGGCTGGGTCACCAGACCCCTCACGTGCCTGGCCCCTGAAGCTATCTAGGAGTCCATCCAGAGCTACCTCATTAGCACAAACTCAGGTACAGTTGAGGGGCTTACTATGGAATGACCAAGGAAGCTCCTATCATTCAGGAAATTCCAAGGGTTTTAGAAACTCTGTCAGGAAACTGGGACAAAGACCAAATATGTATTTCTTATCATCAAACTCCTAGGACTTTGACACTCAACCTAAAACACTTCCCTGCAACCTGAATTATTCAGGTCTCTACTTAAATGCCACCTCCCCAGGGAAACAATTCTTGACCACCTACTTAAAATAGTATCTTCCTCCCCACCCATGTCAGTCTTTATGTCCCCACCCTGCTCTGTTTTCTTCACTGTACTAATCAGTACCTGAAATAAAACTATTTATTTGTTTACCATTTTTTTTTCCTGTATCTCCTACTAAGATGTAACTTCCTTGAGGGCAGAGTCTTGGACTTACCTAGATCCCCAGTGCCTAGAATATCTGGCACATAGTATTCAAAAAAATATTTGTTGAATGAATGATAACAATAAATAACACCTATATCAAAGGGTTTTGTGAGGATTAAATGAGAGAGTGCACATGGAGCGATATAGAGTGCTTAACTCAATGCCTAGCACACCATAAGCTCAATAACGTTGGCTGATGAGATTATCAAAGGAAAACAGAAGAGGGTGAGATCAACATGGGCAGGGGCAGTTACTGAAGGTTTCAAGGAGGCGACATGTCTTGGGCAGGATCTGGAAGGACAAGGATTTACCTTTCTAGGTGGGTGCACTGCAGACGGTTTTAAGTGTCTCTTCCTGTGCACATGCCTCCTGTGCACATGCACATGAAGAGAGTGCACTCCACCAACGTACACTCTTCACACCCCAATCAAATGCAGAATCATCACACTGGAAGAATCATCTCCGGACCAGCCTCTCTCTGTCCAACCATTAATCCACTTATCCTTCAGTTCTATACCACCAGAGCCTATACCAATTTCACTAATGGACACTCAATAATGGCGCTGAATTAATTAATTTCGGAAATCTGTAGGAAAGGCACAGCCTACTCTTCCGTCCAGCAATCCAGGTAAAGATGTCTATCATAAAGAAATACTCAAGTGTCAGCATTCAAAATCATGTATAAGGATGTCCACTTGTGACAGTGTGAGAGAAACAATCCATGTTGTTCACCCACAGGGAACAATAAATATAGTACATACATACTGTGCAGAAATTAAACTGAGTAAGACAGTCATTTACTGAAACGATCTCCAAAATATTGTTAAATTGAAAGGAAGTTGGAGAATGCACACCATGTGATCTCATTTATGTAAAACAAACACAGACGTTAAAACCACACACGTAAAATTTACATATTCTGGGCCGGCCCGGTGGCGCACTGCTAAAGAGACCTCCCGCCGAGGGTTCGGATCCCACATACAGACCGGCCGCTCACTGGCTGAGCGAGGGGCGGGCGCAGCACCGAGGGTTGCGATCCCGTTGCCGTCCCGGTCCGGTACGGGCGCGACACTGAGGGTTGCGGTCCGTTGCCGGACACGAAAAAAGACAAAAAAAAAAAAAAAAAAAAAAAAAAATTAAATATTCTCTGAGGAAATACACCTATATATCTTAACCACTGCATTTTCAGCCCTTCAACACCATGCCTGAAACAGTAAGTTTTCAATATTTGCTGAATGAAGACATACATACATGAAGGACTGGAACGTAAATCTGCTTTTCATGCTATTTCTGTACTATTTGCGTTTTTAGAGACCGCATTAATGTATTAATTGTACAATTAAAATGAATACAAAATAGCTATTAAAAAAAAGTTGTAGGCACCTTTGGAATAACTTCTCCAGATAACTAATTTGTTTTAAGCAATTAGGGCTCTTACACAGCAATTCAGTTTACCTCTCAGGCATCAGAACCTTTAACAACAGAAAAACGAGGAGAAAAGTGCTGGGTTTTCAACTGTTCCTGCACAGGCGCTGATTGCGTGCCCTTTCTAAAGGGTGCTCTTCTCCCAAACCCCGACTCCCGCTGAAGCTGGGGCTCCTGCGCTCGGCCTTCCCTGCGCACCCCCAGGAGCCGAGTAAGGACGGCAGGTGGGAAGGCAAGTCCCCCGGTAGGTGTGCGCACACCGCGCGGCGTGCGGCAAGGACACTTACTTTCCGACTGGCCCCTTCGCTAGCTGTAATCTGTCTCTTCTGCTCAGGCATCATCCCCCGCAGACACCAATTTCTTCTCCGATCCAGCCCAGAGCCTAAAGGTCACCTGGTCAGCGCGGGAGAAGCACGGTGTTAACACACAGGGAGGCGGAGCGGGGTGTGAAGGCACGTCTGCGGTTCGGCTTGAACCCGAAGGGTCCGGCAACCGGCCCCTTCGTTTCGGACCAGAGGATCCGCAGCCCTCACCCCGGGGGTTGATTCAAAGTTGCGCGCCGCCGTGCCCCTGACTGCTGGGCGCGGGGATGAGAGCGCGAGGGGAGGGGGCTTCGGACCCTCACCCGCTCCCGAGGCGGGCCTGGCGGTGCCGGCCTGCCTGACGCTGCTGGCCGACCGGTGTCCTCGGACGGGCTGGCACCGCAGGGCGGGGACCCGTCCTTTCCCACTACCGAGGTCTCCGCTACCTCGGGCCGTTGCGCCCGGGACTCGGTCCTCAGATCCCAGCCGTGCGCCGGGGAGGGAGGGAAGGCGAACGGCCGCGAACCGGCCCGAGGTGCCGAACCCAGAGCTCGCCCACCACGGGCGGGGAAGGTGCGGCGTGGCTATATCTATGCGCAGCCCCCTCTCGGACTCTACGCCCGACTCCTGGGCACGGCGGGGCCCCAACACCGCACGCGCGGCGGGAGTGGACTCTGCACCTGGAAAATCCATCCGCGACGCGAAATAGCTTCCCATTTCTCCAACGGGCGGGGGGCGGGGGCGCCCGGGCAGGGGCTCCCATGGGGGAGGGGGCCGGGGCGGGAGCGCCAGCTGTCCATCACAGGCCACGCCCCCGCAGCACAATTCCCCCTACCGTCCTGCCCAAAGGGGGCGGGACTCGTGTGCGCCACGCCGAAAACTTGTCTTCGCCTCGGCAGATTCTATTGGCTGGAAAGCCGTGGGACGTTACTACCAGCAACGAATTGAAACGTATAATCGGCCCATAAGGGCGTGGGGAGCAGCGCACGTTTACTTAGGAGCCAATAGAGAAGAGGAACAGTCAAACGTTTCCTGAGTTCGGGGGTGGCGGAAGATGGCGGCCGCTGGAGGGGGTTGGTGTCTGTGCGAGTTGTTGAGGTAAGAAGCGGGTGGTGTGGGCTTGGAGGCGTTTTCTGTTCTGTGGTGATACTTGTACGTCCAGTGAAGCAAAAGTTTGCGGGGGAATGGTCTTCATTGTCATGAATCTAGGATATTTTCTCAGGCCAGTGAGCGGTCTTTTGCCTTTAGGGTCTTCTGGACCAGCTGCAGCAGACTAGGTCTTAGAGACTCAGTTTACCGCGTTTTCTTCGTCTGCCTCGCTGCTGGCTGAGGAGGTCGCGTTTCCCGCTCTGCTTCAGCGTTTTCATTCTCCGTACTCCCAGTTAGTGTTCATAAAGTATTCACATTCGTTTTTCGTTTTCCTTTATGATTGAACCAATAATGATTTTCCAGTCTGTTATGTCTCTCATTTCAGTAAAGAAGAAACCGGATCTTCTCTTCTCTCAGTTTCTCCTCTTTAACTCAGCTAAAACTACCATTGTTAACACAATTCACTGAGATATAAAGTTTATGTTAAATCCTCTGCTTCTTTGATCATCCATTGATTTATTTTTTCTGATTGATGTAAGAATAGTTAATTAAATATTATTACCTTTATTCTTATTATGTAGATGATATACTGTTTCTTTTAGAAAATTTAGGAATTAGATGAGTAAAAGGAAAAGTCACCGCGAATGCTACTTTCTGGTGATAACCACTGTTAACATCTTGTTGAAAAAACTCCCAGACTTTTTCCACCTTTGTTGTTGTAATGCTAATGAATTTTAAATGCCTTGCTCTACTCTAATAAAACAGAAGATCTAGTATATTCTACCTATCTAGTTCTTTTAACACCTATATATTTTTGTTCAACTTGAACATTTATAATTAACACAACAGGTTCCTGAATAGTAGTACTCTGTATATATATTCTCTCCAAAGTTTAGGTATTTCTTATTCATTTTTGTCTTCTGTATTTCAAATTCTGTAATGATTATTTAAAACATTCTGAGTGGGAAAGTCTATTGGCAGAGCCTTCATGTTCTTTGCCCTATGGTATATCCCTAAGTCACTGCTTTACATTATAATGGCTAAATAAATGTTTCCTGAATGAATGACAAAAGTTATCTTTTTAAAACCATGTGTTTAAATATGGGTAAACATTATTTAATGGTGCATATTTTAGTTATATTTAAACAGATTCTAAAATGGATTTTTTTTTTTTTTTTTTTTTTTTTAAAGATGACTGGAAAGGAGATCTTAACCCTTGGCTTGGTGTTGTCAGCACCACGCTCAGCCAGTGAGCTAACCGGCCATCCCTATATGGGATCCGAACCCATGGCCTTGGTGTTATCAGCACCGCACTCTCCCGAGTGAGCCACGGGCCGGCCCTAAAATGGATAATTTTGATGTGCAAGTACTGTAGGATGTTTTAATAAAATTTATTTATAGAACCTGTAAGGGTTTTTTAAAAACTAACCATACTCAAAGGACTGGTTTAACTTTAGTCATTAATGTGATTTTTTTCCCCCGGATTTTTAGGCAATATAGTTCAATTTGAAAGGCCTACCGCATAAATTTTCCCACCTAAATCATCTGAGGGAATTGTCATAAAAATTTTTAGATTCTGTGGGTCAGCTACATTGTAAATACACTTCTGAAAGCTTGTCCTTAGAAAGCAAACTGTTCTATATAGAGTTGCTTTTGTGAACTCATATATGCTAAATGTTAAATAAATGACAAATCTTACCATTTCTGTCCAACTCTGTTCGTTCTTTAAGGCAGTGGTTCTCAAAGTGTGGTCCATGAACCAAGACCCTTTCAGTGGGTCCTCAAGGTCAAAACTTCTAAAAATAATATTAAGGTAACCTTTGCCTTTTTCAGTATGTTGACACTTACACTGATGGTGCAAAAGTAATGGTGGATAAAACCCTTAGCAGGAATGAAGACAGTTGACGCCAAACTGCACTAGTAGTCATTTTGTTTTTCACCATCATGCACTTGCTAAAGCCAGTTTTACTTTAAAATATCCTTGCTAAAACAGTAAAAATTATTAATTTTGTTAAATCTCGACCCTTGAGTACATATCTTTTTAATATACTATGTAACAAAGCAGAGGGTCTGCATAAAGCTCTTCTCCAGTGATGGCTATTTCAAGGAAAACCTCTTATAAGAGTATGATTGTCTAAATTGCAAGCTGAATTAGACACTTTTTTTTAATGGGACACCATTCTTAACTTGAGAGAATGATGGACAAACTATCAGTTCATGGTGTTACAAAATTATGGGTAGGTAAAAGATCCAAAGTGCGAGATAGACCAATGGATTTTAACTAATAGTATGAAAAGGTCATTGATGGGGTTTCAGATTCTATGTTGCAACTGACCATTAAGAAATTGCCACTTGTCCGTTTTGGTATAGTGTCAAAGAAGAATATCGGGAACTATCTGAAAAACTAAATATATATGAAATATATAAAAAATAAATATATAGATTAAAATATACTCCTCTCTTTTCCTACTGCATATCTTAGTGAGCCTGGATTTTCTTCATATGCTTCAACCAAAACAACATGTAACTACAGATTGAATGCAGAAGCAGAGAGGAGAAAACACTGTCTTGGTTAAGATTAAGTCAGACGTTAAAGAGATTTGCAAAAATGTAGTACATTGTTGTTTGGAAAATATAACTTTTTAATAAAAATATATGTTAATTTATAACAAATTTATCATTATTTTTAAGTGAGTTCATAATTATTTTAATTCCTCAGTTTTCATTTCTTATATGCTAAATGTTGGTAGATATAATCAATGTAAACCAGTGGTTCTCAAACACAGGTGATTTTGCCCCTTACATGACATTTGGCAATATCTGAGATATTTTTGATTGTCATGATTCAGAGGGTGGTACTGGCATCCATTAGATCCAGGCCAGGGATGCTGCTAAACATCTTATAATGGACAGGACAGCTCCCCACCCCACCCCCTCCCCCATACAGCAAAGAATTATTGATCCAAAATGTCACTAGTGTCGAGGTTAAGAAATCCTGATGTAAAGGCTGTATTGGGTCCTCAGTAAGGGTATAAAGGTATCCTGAGACCAAATCATTCTAACAAGTCAAATACCTCTTCAAGTAATAGATTTGTTCACAATAGGAAATCCCACATGAAAAACTTATTTCAAAACTAAATATCAATAAAATATGTATTTCTCTAAAGAATTTGTATGTTTTCTACTTATGGATAACGAAACCATGTAACTATACAAGATATCCCCTATTTGCTTTAGTCATTAAACAGCCCAGAGCCCCCAATCTGCTGTTCACTACTATGTACAAACTTATAGCCTGCATATCTGTGTCTCCCCTCAACCTCTACCCCCACATACACACCACCTTTAACTTTATGTTTTCCCTGGTCCTGAATTTTCATTGTTTGTTTTTAGTATTTTATTGCTTTCATGTTTTATAAGCCCCTCAAATCCTTTATAAAGTATAGACAGGGTATAAAAATATTGTTAGGTACCAACTATATTGGCCAATCCTAAAAGAAAAAGTCCCTTGAAAATTTATTTTAACATATATTGTAAGAGACATCTGAAAAAGTAATACAGTTTTGCATTAAGTCAAATATTTATTAGGTGCCTTCTCTGTGCCAGGAATTATGCCAGGCATTGGGGATGTGGTGATGAGCAACACTGGGTCCGTCTTTTTTCAGAGCTTCAGTCAGTCTAGCAGTAATAGAAAACCTTGGAACAGTCAATTTATGAATGAGCTTACTAACATGCATTAAGTAGAGCCTTAGTGGATTTCTGGCAACTCATTCAGAGGCACATAAGGGAAGGTAGTGATATTAGATCATGTAAACAAATAAAATGCAGAGCTGGAAATAGAATTGGAGAAATCCAAATTCCATTCTTGTTAACCCAGAAATTGTTCTGCTTGAGTTGAAGTGAGAAAATAAAAATGATTTACTATCTCACCAGACTTTTAGCTAATGAAACATTGGTCATTCAAAAGACATACTTCTTCGGGTTACATATATTGTCATTTTGATGGTCAGATGCCATTCCTAATCATGTCTTGATTAGGTTAGTAGTTAAAGTTGTTTTTAATCCTTAACATATATACTAAGTTAGGAGAAAGGCGGCTCACTGTTGATTTTTACTGCTGATTAAAGTATATTAAATTGCTAGCATGCTATGGAGACTGAAATTAAAAGGGACTAGCATTTTCAGCATTGAATATTTGGTAGCATAATTGGAAAAGTTTAGTAGTTGAGTATTTTGTTAGCAGACTTGCAAACTACAAAAATTCTCTTCTCTACTAATATATAAAATAGATATGTAAAAAATGGACTTTAATTTATAGTCTTGTTTTTTTTAATGGACATCACTTCAATTTTTACATTTTCCCTCTTATTTCAGGTTTTTTTATTCATTATTCTTCCCTGGGCTGATGGTATGTGGAACTTTATGTGTGTGTTTGGTCATTGTCCTTTGGGGAATCAGACTGCTGCTACAGGGAAAGAAAAAGTCAGTGTCATCTAGCAAAAATGGGAAAAATCAAATGGTGATTGCATTTTTTCATCCCTATTGCAATGCTGGCGGAGGAGGAGAAAGAGTTTTATGGTGTGCCTTAAGAGCCCTGCAGAAAAAGTAGGTATGCATCTTTTGTAGCTAATTTTCTGTACTGTTAACCATTTTTAGAAAATCATTTCTCAGAAATTTATCTTTCCTTTTTTTAACTGTTCCTCAATAAGAAACTGTTTCTCTCATATGCCCACCTGCCTTATAAGATCCTGTTGAATTTTAGTTGCTGTGATGAAGAAATGGAGGGGGAAGTATCTGCCCTTTTATGGCATAATTTAATGGGGATAACTAGTCACCTTCGGAGAGTGTACACAGAAGAGATTAAATAATAAACAGAAGTATACCAAGCATTGAAGAGCACTTTACACCTGAATACTTTTAGTTGGTGTTAGCACACAGGAATAATCGCTATGAAAACATCTAATTGATTCCAATTTTGATATAATAATCAGTTGGAGAGTCTTAAATAAGTTACCATATTAGAAGGAATATGTGTTACACATCATTTAATGTTTTAGCCTTCCTCATCCATACTTCCTGCACCCCAAAAATATTAACGGTTCCCTTTTAGAAAGGAAAAAGCATAGTAAAGTGTAGGCTACATTATTGTTTTATCATATGAGCAAAACTACTCTATGGTTACCCTCCTTCTTGGCATATGCACTTCATTCACTTCCAAAGCTTTCACACATAATTCCCTCAGCTATACCTTTCTACATTCTTGGCCCACCACCCCTGTATTTCCTCTGCTATCTTATGTAACTGCCTAAATCCCAGTAATTCTCTTAAATCCCAACTTAATTTTCACCTTCTTGAAGCCTTCCCTACTCTCATCAGTACTATTCTTTCCTTCTCATAACTGTGCATTAGCTTTGTCTCTACATTATCTAACTTGTGAGGGCAGTGGCAAAGTTTCATAATATCTATACACATAATCCCCAACAACCCCTATTACAAATACTCCACCTAAAAAAAAAAAAATCCAAGTAATTTGTATGACATAGAAGATACTTTTTCATCTTGCTCTTGCCACATTTTGTTTCTCATTCCTCCCCTATCCTTCACATATACTTTGCTCCAGTATGCTGAACTAGGAGCAGCTCCCTGAACACATTATGCTCTCTCTATAATCTTTGCCTTTCCATATAATGTTCCTTTTTTCTGAAGTAACCTTTTTCTCCCCAGTTAATTCCTGCAAGTCTTTCCTGACTCAGCATATGCTATAGTACACTTTTCATTTGATCTAGGAGTGTTTATTGGGGACCTGCTATGTATCAGGGACTGTTCTAGGAGTTGAGATTAAGTGGTGAACAACGTAGATCAAGTCCTTCTCTCCTGGTCCTTAGATTTAAGTTAAAAGTGACAAGATAATAAGCAAAAGAGAAAAGCAGCAAATAGTGAGAAGTACTATATAAAGAATTAAAATAGGGTAATATAAGAATGACTCGAAACTTTGATCAGGGAAAATCTCTGAGGAGATAACACTTAACTGAATTATGAATGACAAAAATAGCTGCATTCCTGAGTGTTTATTATATGCCAGGCATTATTGGAAATGCTTTACATGTGTTAGCTCACTCAATCCTCATAACAACCTTATGAGGTTGTTACTCTTATCCTCATTTGACAGAGGAAGAAACTGAGGCACTAAATGTACATGTTCTTTTTTTTTTTAAAGGGTATCTTAACCTTTGGCTTGGTGTTGTCAGCACCACGCTCAGCCAGTGAGCCACGGGCCGGCCCTTAAATGTACATGTTCTAAGCCACATGCTGAATCACCTGCCTTATGAAAAGACAGAGCAAAGATGAGAAAAGAGAATTCAAAGCAGAGGGAACAACCACTGTGAGTTCCCTAAGGCTGGTGGGAGCTTGGCTTGTTCAAAGAAAGGAATGCCGGTTTGGCTGCCTTCCTGGTGGACAAGGGAAAGTGTAGAAGGGGAGGTTACAGAGGGAGGCAGGGCCCAGATCACACAGGACTCTAGTAGTAAGTGCTATGGAAAACCATATGAGGATTACAAGTAGAGAGGTGATATTCTGATTATCTACTGCTGCATGAAAACCACCCCAAAATTTAATGGCTCGAAACAAGACTTTTTCTCATAGTTTGGGGGTTGACTTGCTCTGTTTGGAATCCCTCACACTGTTGCAGTCAGAAGGTGATTGGGACTGGAGGCATTTCAAAGCTTCTTCACTCTCATATCTAAGTCCTGGGCTGAGATGACTAGAATAGCTGCGGGGTTGTAGGGCATCTCTGTAAGTCAAGCAGCCTCTCCATGTGACTAGCTTGGGCTTGCACACGGCATGGTGGTCTCAGGATAGTCGGAGTCCTTATGTGACAGCTGACTTCTAGAGTGAGCATTCCAAGAGAAAGGAAATAGAAGCTGCCAGTCTCTTACTGCCTGGGTCCACAGACCAGCACAATGTCATGTTTACCATATTCTTTTGGTTAAAGCAATCACAGCACCCACCGTTACTCCAGGAGAGGGGACATAGATCCCACCTGTTAGTGGGAGAAGTGTCAAGAAATTTGTGGCCATCTTTAAGCTACCAGAGATGACAATCCTCTTTACATCTTGAAAGTCTCATTCAGGCTGCTGGGTAAAGAATGACTGGGAAAGGGTCTAGGGAGGAGCAGTTAGATTCTCATCCTTTAGACTTCCACAGCATCATGTGATTTTCTTTATCAATATCACACAATTTTGCAGTTATCTGTTTATATGTCTGTGTTCTCCACTGAACTGAGCTCCTTGAGGGTAAAGACTGTCTCTCATCCCTATATCCCCTGAACCTAGCAGCTCATGATAGATGTTTAATAAATGTTTTATGACTTGAATAATTATAACACAGAAGGAGGCTAAAGCATTAAATGTCTTAAGAGTATACTTTTAGGTATTTCCATTATAATTATATCACATCTAATTGTGATGCAGACAGAAGATCTAGCTTTTAAAACCTTTTCATTTCTCAGATAAAAACACTGAGTAATGCTTTAGCATTATGATCCTATCTAAAGATACTGTTAGTGAATTTTAACTCTTTTATGAGTATTAATATTTTATTAGCATTTTTATACTGAGAATGTTGTCAAAATAAAAATTTTATGTGTTTCTTAGAAAACATCTCATTTATAAATCAGTTTTTGGTTTTTGCTCTATTTGAAAACCTTAGTGTAAGAAATAGCAAAAAACTAGAAAACACAGTGTCTTAGTCTGATTAGGCTGCTATAACAAAATACCTTAGACTAGGTAATTTATAAGCAACAGAAATTGATGGCTCATAGTTGTGAAGACCAGGAAGTCCAAGATCAAGGCACCAACACATTTGGTGTCTGGTGAGGGCCCACTTTTTGCTTCGTAGATAACTTCTTGCTGTGTCCTCACATGGCTGAAGGGGCAGACAAGCTCCTTTGGGCCTCTTTTAAAAGCACTGATCTCATTAAACGGCCCCACCTCTTAATACCACCACATTGGAGATTAGGTTTCAACATATGAATTTGGGGGACACATACATGCAGACCATAGCACATGGTCTCATTTGAAGGACTAGCATTTTAGTTGTAGGGCAGTGGAAAACTCAGAAAAGGGTGGGAGTAAGTAGTTCAAATGCAAAGAATGAAAAACAGTGGAAAACAGTTTTTTAGTGTAAAAACAATCTTCTTTATGATTGTGAGATATTAATTATAAATTTTTGCTTGATTTTAGCCTAAACTAATGACATTCTTAACTATCACATTCTATTTTAGGTATCCTGAAGCAGTTTATGTTGTTTATACCGGCGATGTTAACGTCAGTGGTCAAGAGATACTAGAAGGTGCTTTCAGAAGATTTAACATCAGATTAATTCGCCCAGTGCAGTTTGTTTTCTTAAGGAAACGCTACCTTGTGGAAGATTCACTCTATCCTCACTTCACACTGCTGGGCCAAAGTCTAGGATCCATTTTTCTTGGCTGGGAAGCTCTGATGCAGTGTGTTCCTGATGTTTACATTGATTCAATGGGATATGCTTTCACACTTCCTCTGTTTAAGTATATAGGGGGGTGCCGAGTTGGAAGCTATGTTCATTATCCCACTATCAGCACTGACATGCTCTCTATAGTGAAGAATCAAAATGTTGGATTTAATAATGCAGCCTTCATTACCAGGAATCCTTTTCTCAGCAAAGTAAAGTTCATCTACTACTATTTATTTGCTTTTATTTATGGACTTGTTGGTTCTTGCAGTGATGTGGTCATGGTCAATTCTTCTTGGACGCTAAACCATATTCTGTCACTGTGGAAGGTTGGAAATTGCACTAACATCGTTTATCCACCTTGTGACGTGCAGACATTTCTAGACATTCCCTTACATGGAAAAAAGATGACCCCAGGACATTTGCTGGTTTCTGTTGGCCAGTTCAGGCCTGAAAAGAATCATCCTTTGCAGATCAGAGCCTTTGCTAAACTGCTGAATAAAAAAGTGGCTGAGTCACCTCCTTCACTTAAACTTGTTCTCATTGGAGGTTGTCGTAACAAAGATGATGAACTTAGGGTAAACCAACTGAGAAAGCTGTCTGAGGAATTAGGAGTTCAAGAAGATGTGGAATTTAAAATAAACATTCCATTTGATGAATTAAAGCATTACTTGTCTGAAGCTACAATTGGTCTCCATACCATGTGGAATGAGCATTTTGGGATTGGTGAGTTTGGCCTTTAAACAATTTGTCTGGTGCCACGAGATGTACATTTTAGATTCTTTTGATAAAATGATAATACTCTGGAAGTCTTCATCGAGTCCTAATTCTCTTCTCCTAATCCACCAAGTTTGCTTTCCTCATTTGAGACCCTGTAAGACAGTAGTTAATAATAACAGCTAATATTCATTGACCACTTACTGTGTGCAGGTCACTGTGTTGAGGTTTTTACAAGTATTATCTAATTCAATTGTCTCTACAACCCTGGATAGGTATTATTAATATTCCCACTTTATAGATGGAAACTCAGGTACAGAGAGGTTTAGAAATTGTTCAAGGTCAGTCACACAGTAAGTAAGTGGTAGAGTGTGAACCCCAAGCCAGATAGCCCCTGCTCTTAACTGCCATGTATTCTCTCCCCACAAATCTTCATCTGTGTACTGGTACAGATTCCTGGGCCCTGCCTTAATCCTACTGAACTACCAAATCAGTCTCTGGATGGGGCCCACATAGATGTGTTTTGCTAAAGCTGCTTAGATGATTACATTGTGCATTAAAAGTTGAAAACCACTGTCTCCAGATGGGCTTCTCACAGTAATTCTTTTGGTCTTTTATTGATTCTACACTCATTGGAATGACCTTCCCTCTTCTTTCTTCCAAATCCCATTATAAGTTTTCAGTTTAAATCTCCTTGCCCTTTAGCCTGTCTTGTTGATTCTAGATCAAATTGCTATGTCTATTCTGACCCGTTAAGCAGACATTTTGATTTTGTGTCTAATTTGGTTCAGAATATATTTCTCAAGTGCCTACTTTGTGCCTCCCAGTGCGTTGTGTTAGAGGAAAACAGGAAAACATAAAAGTGAAGTTTACTAAGATTACAATTTTTCTTATCCACTTTTTATCCCTAAGTTAGCACAGTACTGAGCCCAGTCATTCAGCAAGAACTTGTTGATCCAGCCTTCTGCATGGGGTGTGACTTCCTCTTCTTCCTTCCACAGATACTTACTGAGCATTCAGCAGGCACTTGGGTGGGTGCTGGGTGACTGAGGGGAGATCTCTGCCCTTCAGAGGCCTCAAGCTCTTGTTGGTACCAACAGGCTACACAGGCGTGTGCCATGCAGTGTGCCAGTTGCTATGCTAGGAAAGTTCGGGTCATGAGAAAGCCCCTCAGAGAAACAATGAAGACCTGTGGAGGCAGGAACAGTTGCCCAGGAAAGTGATGGGACTCTCGAACTGAGACCTGAAGAATAATTAGAAGTTAGCCAGGCAAGAGAGGAAAGAGAGTACCCAGTAGAGAGAACAGCACTGTGACAGGAGTGACAACAGGAGCACCAGGAGGCACCTTCAAAGAACTGAGTCCAACGTGGCCAGAGTCTGAGGGGGAACAGCAAGACAATAAGAGAAGACCTGGGTCAGGTTAAGCCAGTAGAAAGGATAGAAGGATTTGAAGTATTGCATTTTGAAGCTGTCTCTTTCCTAAAGTCCACTCTGGCTGCAGTGTGGGGAGTGGATTGGGGAGGAGAGCAAAACTAGACAGGCAGGAAGGTGAGTTGGGCTGCTTCAGCAACTCAGGTGGGAGGGGCCGGCGGTCTGCACTTAGTAGGTAAACACGCTGGAGAGATTCCAAGGTGGCGCTGGATGGACTTGGTGATTAACTGGATGTGTTAAATGATGGAGGAAGAGGACTGAGATAACTGCGTAGGGCTTTGGGCAACTGGGTGAATGGTATTGGCTTTCCCCAGGAGAGGGAACCCAAGAGCAGGGACAGATGATGAGCCAGGTTTTGAACATGGAGAGTTTGAGTCGTCTGTGGGCCCTAAGAATGCATTGTCCAGTGGGTAATTTGCATGAGCCTGAAGTCGAGGAGAGGGACCTGATCTGGAAATACAGACTGAGGAGTCGGCCTTGTCCTGGTGGTTATTGAAACCTTGTGGATGTTGATAAGATTGCCTGGGGAAAGAGTGCAGATCGAGAAGGGGCCCTAAGTACAAAATGCTGAGAACAGACAGGGAGCGGGTAGAAGATGAGCCAGCAAAGGAGAAGAGAAGAAATGGAGAGGTGGGGGGAACTGGCAGAGCACAGCATCTTAGGAGCCAGAGAATAGCGTTTCAGGAAGAAGGGAAGGGCAGCAGATTCCAATGCTGCCCAGGTGGTGGGGAGGGTAAGGATGTCGTTGGTGTTCCAGGCAAGGGCAGTCGCAAGGGAGACATGGAAGCAGAAGTCAAGTTGTGGTGAGTTTAGCATTGAGTGACAGGTGGGTAAGTGGAATTAGGGAGTACAAGCCATGCTTTCAGTAACTTGATATGCGAAGGGAGATAAAAGAAGAGACAGTGGCTAAGGAAGGACATGGGACCTGATGAGTGGCATGTGTGTGTATGTGTGTGTGCACATGCACTTTGATTTATGAGTTTGAACTAACTTAAATGCTGATAGGAGGGGGCCAGTAGATAGAGAGAGGTGGAAGATCGTGGAGGGAGAGGGTAAAATTGATTAGACTGAGGTCTCAGTATAAAGATGTTCTCCAGCCTTCAACAGAATATGAGGTACTGAATTCTGTTCTGCAGGGATTTCGCCACTGTTAAAAAGTTGGAATGACTTAACTTCTCTTCTGTGTGCCTAGGATGATATCAACTCTGTACCATCCTTCAGAGAATAGAGAAAGCAGTCACTTATTTTCTGAAGGGCTTAATTCTCTAGGAATACGGCTAAGAAATTCTCGCTACAGTAATTTATACACTCATCTGTATAATTTGGCAGGAACTAACTATGACTTCTATTGAGTTTAATGCTGCAGTGAGGCACGAGTGCGTGAAATATGCCCCAAATCCAGACAGTAACATAAGCACCAACCAGCAATAGTATGCTTCACTAAGATGGTTTACATTTTTTCTTTTTACTGCTAATAATGTAACTTGAACTCTTAAAATTTTGCTTGTTATCTTTTTGCTCCTTTTATCTTTCTTTTTTTTTTACTCCTTTTATCTTTTAATATCTCTTACTATTCTGCCATCTTGCTAATATTCTCTAGTCTTTCTACTCTGTTTAATCACCTGTGGTTTTTCAGTTTTTTGTAGACTATTCTATTTGTTTTAATTAAGAATGATGCAGCATTATTGTGAAGCTTCGAAAACTAAAAAACTTAATTTTATTTTGCACCATGGAAGTTCAATAAACACATTTGTAGAAATACAGACATTTAATTAAGTTTCTTATGAGTCTCTTAAAATTTTTGAGAGTTTTCATTCATTCTTGTTCTTATGAACACACTGAAAAACTTGACTCCATGATTTTTGTTTGTTTCTCAGGAGTTGTGGAGTGTATGGCAGCTGGCACAATTATCCTTGCACACAATTCGGGGGGCCCAAAGCTTGACATTGTCATTGCTCATGAAGGAGATATAACTGGATTTCTGGCTGAGACTGAAGAAGGCTATGCTGACACTATGGCTCATATTCTTTCCATGTCTACAGAGAAGAGACTCCAAATCAGAAAAAATGCTCGTGCATCTGTAAGCAGATTCTCTGATCATGAGTTTGAAGTGACATTCCTATCATCTGTGGAGAAGTTATTTAAATAATGCTGTGTCTGTACAAATTAAAGATACTTTATATAAAATAGTTAAATATCTTCATATGTAAATATTTTTCCAAACTCCTTCCCTATTGTAATAAAGCCAGCTTAAGTAATGTTCTCAGTCGTTTGTATATAGGCAACGAATTTATTTCAATGAAAAAAGGCAAAATTACCAATATGGAAAAGGTAGTCTTATATAGATTAAATGTAAAATTTTAGATTAATATTTTGTTTCAAATTCTGAAAAATATGGACCTGAAAGAAAAAATGAACAATCTTGAATTTTGGTGTAATCCATGTTTTTTTAAATCCTACTTGTCAAATTGCTGTACTTCAGAAAACAGGAAAGAAAATTTCCACTTTAGAAGAAAAGGAAATGTTGAAAGGAAAATGGACAACTGATGATTGACTAGCACTTTAGAATTGCTCTGACAGGGCCGGCCCGGTGGCACACTGGAGAGTGCGCCGCTTGGGAGCGCGGCGGCGCCGAGGGTTCGGATCCCATGTGGAGACCGGTTCCCGCTCACTGGCTGAGCATGGTGCAG